AGATGAAGACTGGTCTATAGCTGGTGGTGAACCTACAAATAATGCAGTAGTAGCCCTGAATACAGCTGGTGGTTTTTCTGCTATTACAATTGCTCCTGGAATCAAACTTGGCCAGCTTATTTTCTTACTCAGAACTGCCTATACAACCATCGAATATTTAAAACAAATGGCAGTTTTTGGTCAACTTATGCAAGAAAATATAGGTATTGAAGAGTTCTCTGCTAAAATCAAAAAGGTTAGTAAAATAGCTAGAATAGCTCCTGAACAACAAAGAGAGCAATTCATTCGTGGCTTAAATCCTATGAATTAGTATAATATTCGAATGATAGCTAAGTTTAATGATACGCAAGATAATATTACAGAAGCCTTAGCTGAAACAGAAAAATTTATATTATCTCAAAAGAGTGTGTCATTTTTTTTTCTAATTTTTCCGATAGCCAACCCTTATGCAGATACTAACAAATCAAGAATAACTAAAACTGAAATCGTAGATTTGATAAAAACCGCAATAGCATCCTCAGAGTCTCAAACGGCTTAACAAAATGCTGATTTGCGGTCTACTATTAAATCCTTCCAAGAGACTATGTCTTGAGCGACTAAAACTCTAGATAATAGTAAAAAATCATCTAAGAAGAAAGTAGAAGATATTGGCATTAATCACTTTTTGAGTGACTTACTAAAAAAAAATCCAGATAAACACCCTGCTGATGAATATAATCATGATCCTATAGAAGATATTTCAGATAGTTTAGTAGGATTAACATTAAATAGTGTCATAAAAACTGCTGTTAAACGTGCTATTAAAAAATCAACAGGTCACAAATGCTCCACCTGCGGAAGATCTGAATATAATTTCTGAAACTGCCCTCAAAAGAAAAAGAAAAGCAGGAAGTCTAAAAAGAGTAAAGTTAATCTTGCTACTGTAGATTCAGATTCAGGTTCAAGTACTTCTTCTAATACTTCTTCTAGTAATAGTTCTAATACAAGTTCTTCTAATTCTTCTGATTCTTCTGATTCTGAAAACAATATCACTATCAACATTGCCAAGACAAAAAAAAAGTGAAGCAAGACTCTAGTTTCAAGAAATCGTCCCTTAAAAAGATATCTAAAACTTTA